ATACTCCATTGAGCTATTTCTAATATGCCAGGATCTCATGCATTACATACATCATCAAAAGCGGATAAAGTTTAAAACTATATCCTTGGATATCGTGTATAGCATATACATTTACAGTCCTGGCCCGATAATTGGGCATAACAAAAGGAATATAAAAGTTAAGTACAACATCCGTAGGTGGCTCTCAAAAGCAGACCCATATCTTAGCAGCTTCACAAAAATAAATGGCCTGGTATGGTGCCTGAACATGTAAAGGTTGACAAAAGGGACAGCGTCAAAGTTAAGACTAACCCCCTGACTGATAACCTACAGAAACAGACATAATAGAGAGTGAGCCGAGCTCAATGAGTAGTAATACATAATGAAAGACGTCTGACTTGAAGCTTAAATACATCAATACATAAAAAGATGTAGCATGCACATGATTTGTCTGATTCTGCATTTAGCTCATAATGGCCCTAGGCCTATTCCCGTGACATAAGCTTGTGGCTATAAGCCCTTGAAACATGATGGCACGAAGCCCTTGAACATATGGCACGAGGCCCTTGAAACTTATGGCACGAGGCCCTTGAAACATATGGCACGAGGCCCTTGAAACATATGGCACGAGGCCCTTGAACATATACTTGAAACTTGTGGCACATGGCCCTTGAAAATGGCATATAGCCCTTGTAAATGCTTTTCTTTACATATAACATTAACATATCTTAAACATGCATAAGAGCATTACATGCTTGAGACATTAACATGATTGTATAACGTAACATGATGGTATAACGTAACATAAGTACTACTACTCACAGTGTTGAGATGGCGTGTTGCTTCCTTCTGGAATGTGCCCTGCACACAATTAATACATTAGTTTCGTTTTTTTTTGTTAAAAACATTTCCGGAGTCTTACACCTTGCATGCATTTACAACCGCTTTAAAATCATCTGTAAAATATTCTAAAAATACCAGAGAGGCAAGCACTCAAAACTGAACAAACATTTAATTTTTCCTGAAAATGAGTCTCCCGCTCGAGCGCCACTTTGTGCGCTCGAGCGGACTGTAAAATGCACAAAACTGCTGAGAGGTGGTTTTTCCCGCTCGAGCGGGCTTTCCGCCCCTCGAGCGGACCGAGCAGATTCTGAAATTCTGAACTTCCATTCGAGTCCCAACCTGGTATTCACTCCATTTTTATATGCAACCCAAGGTTAGGTTAATGCAATATACTCACCTAACTTCATTATAACATGAATTCTACCTTGAGTATCATAAATTAAGCAAGATTAGGAGCTTTAAAAAGTCATCTCCCTCTCTAATTCCACTCTTGAATTCAAGTTCTTTCATATCTTTGAAACATAACACATGATATATACATAATTCCATGAAGTGATGATAGAAAACCATAGATTGAAGTATACTTTCATACCACACCCAAATCTAGATGCCTAAGCAACCAAGTAAGAGAAACCCTCATCATTCATGCATGAATTAGACATGAATCAAACATACACATCAATACAAACTCTAAGTGGCCATAGCAAGAAGGATTTGAGCTTACCTTGAATTCAATCCTACACCTCTAACAATTTTGCCAAGCTTCCTTGTGAAATTCCTTCTCCCCCGATTTCTCCTCTTTTCCCCCAAAAATGGTATTCACGTTTTTTCCCTTTTTTTTTGACTAAGGCTCATGAAGTCTTAGAAGTATATATGCATAAATAAGGCATATAAGACAAAAATGAATCGTTTAATCATTCCAAAATTAAAATTTCACGAACATGCTTAATATTATCTAAAAATTATGCTGATTACGGATATATAATCAATTTCAGCTAATTAAGCTGTTAAGGCTTCCAATTTCTAATTTAAACGTGTTAATGGTGACAGATGGTTTTCTTGTGAGACAGATAGACATTCGTAGACATGGATTTCACTTCCTTCCTTAATCATAATTTTTTTCACGGAACTGCACAGTAAGCATTTAAAAGTACTAATCGAGGACTAAGAATATAACAGAAATCATGTGCGAGGGTCGGGTTATTACACTCTCCCCCCCTTAAATAAGTTTGGTCCTCCAAACTTGGGTTACCTTAGGGTTGGAACAGGTGTGGGTATTGATGTTGCATCTCTTCCTCTCTTTCCCATGTTGCGTCGATCCCGTAATGTTCTTGCCATTCAACTTTTACCATTGGAATCTCACGGGTTCGTAATTGTTTTACTTGTCGGTCCAAAATGCGAATTGGTCTTTCCTCATAAATCAACTTGTCGTTCAACTCAATTTGATGGTAGTCAATAACATGTGATGGATCCGGAAGGTACCCACGAAGCATAGAGGCATGAAACACGTTATGCACTTGACTCATGTGTGGTGGAAGGGCAACTCGGTAAGCTACCGGACCCATTTTTTCCAGAATTTGGAAAGGACCGACATACCGGGGTGTCAACTTACCTTTCTTTCCGAATCTTGGGTGCCCTTTCATTGGAGTGACTTTCACGAAAACATAGCTATCCACGTCAAATTCCAAATCTCTTCGTCGGTTATCAGCATAGCTTTTCTGCCTACTTTGAGCAGTTTTCAATCTTTCCCGAATAACGTGAACTTTTTCAGTAGTCAACTGAACAATTTCAGGCCCTAATAAGGATTTATCCCCAACTTCAGCCCAGCACACGGGAGAACGGCATGGTCTTCCATACAAAGCTTCATAAGGTGCCATGTCTATGCTCGAATGGTAACTATTATTATACGCAAATTCTATCAACGGGAGATGGGTTTCCCAACTGTCTTGAAAATCTAGTACACACATTCGGAGCATATCCTCAAGAGTCTGTATCGTTCTCTCGGATTGACCGTCAGTCTGAGGATGGAAAGCTGTACTGAACTTTAATTCTGTACCCATTGTTTCCTGTAAACTTTGCCAGAATCTAGAAACAAACTTAGGATCTCTGTCTGACACAATTGAGACCGGAACACCATGAAGCCTCACAATTTCATTTACATAAATCTCTGCTAATTTATCTGCATTATACTGAGTTTTTACTGGCAGAAAGTGGGGCGGACTTAGTTAATCGGTCCACAATGACCCAAATTGAATTCATACCTCGAGGAGTTCGTGGCAACCCCATAACAAAATCCATAGTCAAATGTTCCCATTTCCATTCTGGGATGGGAAGGGGTTGCAATAATCCGGCAGGTCTTTGATGCTCCGCTTTTACTTGTTGGCATTGCAAACACTTAGAAACAAACTCCGCAATCTCCTTCTTCATACTTGGCCACCAAAACTTCTGCTTTAAATCTCGGTACATTTTAGTACTCCCTGGATGCATTGAGAACCTTGAGGTATGCGCGTCCTCCATCAATTTTTGTTTAAGACTCATCACATTGGGAACACATAGTCGGTTTTGAAATTTGACCACTGAATCTACCACACTGAATCCCAGTTTTGGTTTTGTTTCGAACTCATCATGTATCTTCCTCAAAGTTTCATCTTCCATTTGGTGCACTTTAATCTCTTCAAGTAAGGTTGGTTGTGCTACTATCGTTGCTATTAGGGCTTTTTGACCATGTAACACAAGGTTCAATTCCACCTTATCCAATTCGATTGCCACGTCCTTTTGTCCTGTAATCATACTTGCCATATCTGCCAAAATCCCCATATTTTTCCGACTGAGCGCATCAGCAACTGTGTTGGCTTTACCAGGATGATAATGAATCTTCAGGTCATAATCTTTCAAAAGTTCTAACCACCGTCGTTGCCGCATATTTAATTCTTTCTGAGTAAAAAGATACTTGAGACTTTTATGATCAGTGTATACCTCACTGGTGCTACCATACAAATAGTGTCTCCATATCTTTAAAGCAAAAACTACTGCTGCTAGTTCCAGATCATGCGTGGGATAATTCTTCTCATGGGGTTTCAGCTGTCTAGATGCATAGGCGATAACTCTTCCGTTTTGCATAAGTACGCAACCAAGCCCTTTGTGCGAAGCGTCACTGTAGATTACAAATCCTTCTGTACCAGATGGTAAGGCCAAAACTGGTGCTGTTGTCAACCTTGTCTTCAATTCCTGGAAAGCAGATTCTCGTTCCTCTGACCATTCGAATTCAACTCCCTTTTGTATTAGTTGTGTAAGTGGCACAACAATTTTAGAAAAATCTTGAACAAATCTCCTGTAATAACCAGCTAACCCCATAAAACTACGCACCTCAGTCACATCAGTAGGAGTTGGCCAATTTACGATTGCCTCAATCTTGTGTGGATCAACAGAAACTCCTTCCTTTGTGATGATATGCCCTAGAAATGCCACTTCTATTAGCCAGAATTCACATTTCTTCAGCTTTGCGTACAATTTCTTTTCCCGGAGGGTTTGAAGGATCAAACGGAGGTGATTCTCGTGAGCATCTGCATTCTTCGAATAGATGAGAATATCGTCTATAAAGACCACCACAAATTCATCCAAATAGGGCTTGAAAACACGGTTCATCAAATCCATGAAAGCTGCTAGCGCGTTAGTAACTCCGAATGGCATAACCAAAAATTCATAATGACCGTACCGGGTTCGAAAAACTGTCTTCTCAATATCATCAGCCTTGACCTTTAATTGATGGTACCCAGACCGCAGATCAATCTTGGAAAAGACTTGTGCCCCCTGTAGCTGGTCAAATAGGTCATCAATCCTTGGTAATGGATACTTATTCTTGATTGTGACTTTATTAAGTTCCCTATAGTCAATACAAAGCCGGAGCGTTCCATCCTTCTTCTTTACAAACAGAACCGGTGCACCCCACGGAGACACACTCGGACGAACGAACCCCTTGTCCAATAAATCTTGCAACTGCATTTTCAATTCCTTCATCTCAACTGGCGACATTCTATACGGAGTCTTTGATATGGGTTGAGTTCCCGGTGCTACTTCAAAGGTAAACTCAATTTCACGGTCTATCAACTGCCCTGGTAATTTATTTTTTTTTGATATGATGGCCATCCCTGACTGTTCGGTCTTTTAAGCCCTACTGTTTACTGTCCTGCTATGCTAATAGATGTACCACATATGACTGTTACGACTACACATAACATATAAGACAGTGTTTCTTCGGTTTTATCTAAGTTTTGTGCAAATAATTTTGACACAAATGAATGAGTAGAGCCAGAGTCAAATAAGATAGAAGCAGAATGACCGTGAACCATAAATGTACCTGACACCACCGTTGTTGCATTCTGTACATCTCCTGGAACCAATGCAAACACCCTGCCTTGTCTCGCTATGTCTTTATTGTTGTTAGGTTTGACCGGCGCCTTGGTATTAGTGGTTGGTGTCGACCCTGCTGAGCTAGTAGCAGTCCTGTTACCATTTCGTTGATTCCTCTGAGGGCAATCCTTTATCAAATGACCCGTTTTTCCGCACTGATAACAGGCTCCAGACTTCCATTGGCATATCCCATGGTGCCTCTTTCCACATTCCGAACAAATAGGAATTGTACCCTGATTAGGGGCAGAAGTTTTCGAAGTCCCTGAGTTTTGTTTCTTGTTTGGTGGAGTAGCCGCTCCCTTTGACCATTGATTATTTTGCCTCTTTCCTTTCCATTCAGCAATCCGGTTCTGAGCAGTAAGGTTTCCCTCAGCTATAACAGCCCTCTCCAGCACATCTACGTAGGTAGGCAACTTTAACATATTGACTCGATCCAAGATGGCACCCCGTAAGCCCCCTTCAAATTTTCGTGCCTTTTTATAATCCGTGTCCACCATATGCGGTGCATACCGGGCTAACTCTGCAAATTGGGCCTCATACTCAGCAACAGTCTTGTTCCCTTGTCTGAGAGTTTCGAATTCTGTCACCTTTTTGTCCCGCATGCTTTGGGGGAAATATTTATCATAAAACAGCCCCAAAAATCTATCCCATGTTAACTCTGGATGGATTGTCCTCGTAAGCATCCACCACCTCCGTGCCTCGTCTTCAAGAGTGAAGGCCGCTAGTTGTACCTTTTGAGCTTCGGTGCAGGGAAAGACTTCAAATAACTTCTCTATGCCCAATACCCAGGCCTCAGCTTTCATCGGTTCTATTCCTCCTTTGAAGGTTGGCGGTTTCATCTTTTTAAACTCCTTAGTGAGGGTGATAGTTCGGTCTTCAGCATGAAAATCTTGCACTACAGGTGGGGGTACTGGTGGTGGTGGCGGCTGTTGGGGAGGCTGTTGCTGTTGTTGCCGTAAGGTCTCTGCCATTTCCATAAGCATCCTTTCCATCCTATCCAGTCGTGCTGAGGTGGCATCTTCCACATCTTCTGTCCTTGTTCTCACCATGATCTACACAACAATTAATTAAAATACTATTGACATAATGCTACATGGTTAGTATTATCAGAGTACACTTAATGTTTCCATCACACTTGTCTTACATTTTAGGATGTCATGCATGAGGCCTAAATCCTTTCTAGACACCTACAGCTCAATGGATCTGTGTGTGAGATAGCAACTCGTGCTCTGATACCACTGTCACGCCCTACACCTGCCCCTAAAGGTTTGGGCATGACCTAAGCAAAAAGTGACATAAAAACTGATGTACACACCGTACGGGGCCTTATCAGAAGCATAAATTTTAAAAAACATAAATACGAGCATACTCCATTGAGCTATTTCTAATATGCCAGGATCTCATGCATTACATACATCATCAAAAGCGGATAAAGTTTAAAACTATATCCTTGGATATCGTGTATAACATATACATTTACAGTCCTGGCCCGATAATTGGGCATAACAAAAGGAATATAAAAGTTAAGTACAACATCCGTAGGTGGCTCTCAAAAGCAGACCCATAACTTAGTAGCTTCACAAAAATAAATGGCCTGGTATGGTGCCTGAACATGCAAAGGTTGACAAAAGGGACAGCGTCAAAGTTAGGACTGACCCCCTGACTGATAACCTACAGAAACAGACATAATAAAGAGTGAGCTGAGCTCAATGAGCAGTAATACATAATGAAAGACGTCTGACTTGAAGCTTAAATACATCAATACATAAAAAGATGCAGCATGCACATGATTTGTCTGATTCTGCGTTTAGCTCATAATGGCCCTAGGCCTATTCCCGTGACATAAGCATGTGGCTATAAGCCCTTGAAACATGATGGCACGAAGCCCTTGAACATATGGCACGAGGCCCTTGTATTACACTTGAAACTTGTGGCACGAGGCCCTTGAAAATGCACTTGAAACTTGTGGCACGAGGCCCTTGAAAATGCACTTGGAACTTGTGGCACATGGCCCGTGAAATGTACTTGAAACTTGTGGCGCATGGCCCGTGAAATGTACTTGAAACTTATGGCACACGGCCCTTGAAAATGTACTTGAAACTTGTGGCACATGGCCCTTGAAAATGTACTTGAAACTTGCTTTAACACCAACATATCTTAAACATGCATAAGTACATTACATACTTAAGACATTAACATAATTGCCTTACATGCCTTGAAACATTGACATGATTACAAAACATTACATAGGTACTACTACTCACAGTGTTGAGGTGGCGTGTTGCTTCCTTCTGGAATGTGCCCTGCACACAATTAATACATTAGATTCTTTTTTTTTTATAAAGCATTTCCTGAGTCTTACACCTTGCATGCTTATAACCGCTTTAAAATCATCTGTAAAATATTCTAAAAATACCAGAGAAACAAGCACTCAAAACTGAACAAACATTTAATTTTTCCTGAAAATGAGTCCCCCGCTCGAGCGGACTGTAAAATACACCAAACTGCTGAGAGGTGGTTTTTCCCGCTCGAGCAGGCTTTCCGCCGCTCGAGCGGACCAAGCGGATGAGTCCCAACCTGGTATTCATTCCATTTTTACATGCAACCCAAGGTTAGGTTAATGTAATATTCCTACCTAACATCACTATAACATGGATTCTACCTTGAGTATAGTAAATTAACCAAGATTAGAAGCTTCAACAAGCCATCTCTCTCTCTAATTCCTTTCTTGGATTCAAGTTCTTCATATCTTTGAAACATAACACATGATATATGCATAATTCCATGAAGTGATGATAGAAAACCATAGATGGAAGTATAATTCCCTACCACACTCAATCTAGATGCCTAAGCAACCAATTGAGAGAAACCCTCATTAATTAAGCATGAATTGGACATGAATCAAACATACACATCAATTACAAACTCTAAGTAACCATAATAAGAAGGATTTGAGCTTACCTTGAATTCAATCCTACACCTCTAACAACTTTGCCAAGCTTTCTTGTTGGATCCCTTCTCCCCCAATTTCTCTTCTTCACTTTCTCTTCTTTTCTCCCCCAAAAATGGTATTCACGTTTTTTCCCTTTTTTTTTGACTAAGGCTCATGAAGTCTTAGAAGTATATATGCATAAATAAGGCATATAAGACAAAAATGAATCGTTTAATCATTCCAAAATTAAAATTTCGCAAAGATGCTTAATATTACTTAAACATTATGCTGATCACAGATATATAATCAATTTCAGCTAATTAAGCTGTTAAGGCTTCCAATTTCTAATGCAAACGTGTTAATGGTGACAGATAGTTTCCTTGTGAGACAGATAGACATTTATAGACATGGATTTCACTTCCTTAATCATAATTTTTCACGGAACTACACAGTAAGCATTTAAAAGTACCATTTGAGGACTGAGAATATAACAGAAATCATGTACGAGGGTCGGGTTATTACAGTCTAGGTTTCACCTATTGGTTAAGACCCATTTCTCTTTTACCCAGTTGAAACCATTACCTTATTTCGTATTAAGGTACGGTCTAGGACTCGCCTATTGGTTAAGACCCCTTTCTCTTTTACTCGGTTAAAATCCATTGCCCTATTTTGTATTGAGGTATAGTCTAGGTCTCGTATATTGGTTAAGACCCATTTCCCTTTTACCCGGTTGAAAATCATCGCCTTATTTCGTATTGAGGTATGGTCTAGGTTTTGCATATTGGTTAAGACCCTTTTCTCTTTTATTTGGTTAAAATCAGTCTCATATTTTGTATTGATGTACGGTCTAGGTCTCATTGTTTGATTATAACCTTCTTTTCTCCTCTCATGTGAGTGCGTTTGGATTGTACCCCTTTGTTATACTTCATTTGCATAAGGCTTGCCTCACCATGTATTACATCTAGCATTGCATAAATCATGTATTTTCAAAAAGAAAAAAAAAAGAATTCAACTTTCAATTCCATTAGCATATCATTTGCATGGTTACAATTAACATTGTTGCATCACTTGGCTACAATCTCTTCACATCAACATTTGATTACAACCTTTTCCATCGGTTAATGCTGGCGCCTCTTCGGGATGACGATATTATCCCTTTCTCGGGTTGTTGGTTCAAACCATCTTTAGTTAATACCTCTCCTATTTTGGGTTGTAAGTTAAAACTATCCATCGATTACATTTCCTTCTTTTATGTGAGTGCGTTTGCATTGTATCCCTTGTTATGCTTCACATCATTTGCACGAGGCTTGCCTCACATATTACCTATTGCATTGCATTGTAAATCATGATTTTTTTTTAAAAAAAAAAAATGGCTTCGTGAAGCGTGTAAGTCCAGTTTTCATTTGTATTTCGAGCATATCATTTGTATCTTGCCCCTAAACTAGCTAATTTGATTCCTTGCAAAGGGATACATAGGTAACCATCGGGTTCAACTAATTGCATTTGCATCTTGTTTGTTTGCTCAAGTCTTATAGCCTTGTCAAATAGGTCGCCTTCAAGCTTTAGCATTCACTCACGTTAAGAAACGACTTTGAGTTTTGTCAAAGAGGGTCAATGGTAAACACCCCATTTTGACCAGTCCTAAGACTTGGGACTTTCTTTTGATTTCACAATGATGAAAACAAGAATGTGTTTCTCGCATAGTTTTCAATAAGAAAATATAGAATTTATGTTTCATTTCCAACCCTAAGCTTTTTTTGGCCAAGTGTTTAAGTCTCGTTCAAAACTCTCTTTCAAAACTTTCTTTCCGCGCTTTGTTTTGAATATTTTCGTTGTGTTCCAATGCTCATTTTTAAACTTCAAAATAAGGCTTTTCCTACAAAAATTGAGCAAAGAACAATATGAAAATAGGAGAAAATGATGATAATTCTGTCGAAAAATCTTGTTTCGTTCAAACTAGTCAAGCCAAGGCTAAATTATTGGTTGGCCAACCACAAAATTGGCAGCCCAATTGCCAAGAAATTGGCTGGCCGACTAATTTTCCCAGGAGTTGGGCAGTTTTGGAAAAATTCTTGCTGAATGTATGTGGGTCATGCCATTACAATTGTTATTAATACATTTAGTACATGAGATACACACCCATCCCCCCCTCCCCATTATCCTCATTTGGCCTCCATTGTCAAAAGGGTAATTGTTTTCTTTCCAAAAGACAGCATCCATTTTAACCACCCTTGTCACCCCATCATCCTTGTCTCCTACTTTGTCTCCCACCTCCATGACTTTGCCTTCCATTCATTATCTATATGGAGAATCATAATGTATTAGGGGGAAAGTATTAAATGAAGAGAGGAATGAATTGAGAGAAGCGATATAGAGACAGAGAAAAAGAGATTTGTCTAAGTTTTGAAACAAAACTTCCCTATGCACTGATATTCCATTCTCAAAAAAATCCTAGAAAAATTGTTATAGCCAAATTCAAGAACTTTGATTCAAAAGAGTGTGAGTGTTATCAAAAGAGAGAGAAACAAAGAGTTGGAGCAACACCACCCACATATATTGTTAAACAATCAAAAAACACCATTTCAATAAGAATTTCGAATTTTCAATATGAGAATTAAGAACACACTTCCTAAACTTGAGGGTAATCAAAAGGAAGCTTTAGAAATCAAATTCTTTCCTTGGAAGGTGAATTTTGCACACTTTTCATTTTCTTGTATTTTTTGCATTTTCTTTCTTTTATTGCTTTTCTTGCTTCAATTTCGTAGGCCAACTAATTTTTTGGCTGGACAACCAACTTCTTCTGGGGCAAAATATAGCATGTCTCCTAGCATCAAGCATAATGGTTTCTGACGATTCCCAAGCCATACATATTTACTGTTTTTGTTGTATTTTGAGAGAGTTGTGAGATTTTATATTTTGTTGTAATATTTTTATTTCTCTTCCCCCTTTATTTGGATTTGTAATATTTAAAGTGATGTAATAATTCCCTATCCCCGCTTCTTCTTATCCCGTTCTTTTACTCGCTTTCCTTATCTGCACATATGTAGTATATTTTGGTCTTGTCATCATATCTATATTATGCATCCATGTTTCTTACCTTAAGATCTGGCTAAATTT